AGATAAATTTAGCTTTTCCTTAAAATGGAGCTGTCATGCCTATGATCTTTACTATAAAGTTAAAGGGACTCTCCAGTGCCAGGAAAACAAATGTGTTTTCCTGGCACTGTAGAATCCTGCAGTGCCCCTCTTCCTCCCACCCCCCATCCCATGTTGCTGAAGGGGTTTAAACCCCATCAGTGACTTACTTGAATCCAGTGCCGATGTCCCTCAGCACTGGTTCAGGCTCTGTCCATGCTCCTCCCCTGCTCACATCAGCCGACGGGGGAGGCCTAATGCGCATGCGCGACAATGGCCTCCCGTGTGCATTCGACCTCCCCATAGGAAAGCATGATTCCAATGGGGATTCCGGCGATGCTGGAGGTCCTCATGCATAGCGTGAAGATGTCCAGCATCGTTTAAAACACTTTCGTGGTTTAAGTCCTGATAGACAGCCACTAGAGGAGGACTTAACACTGCAAGGTAATTATTACAGTTTATAAAAACTTTAATAATTACACTTGCAGGGTTAAGGGTGATGGGAGTTGGCTCCCAGATCACTTCAATTAGCAGAAGTGGTCTGGGTGCCTGTAGTGACTCTTTAACTTGTCCCTAATATAAATTGAGTCATTGATCTGACAAATGACAGAGATGTTATTGTTGTGCTGCGTAAATTTGTTGCAATGTTCATAAGTCAAGGATTGTGAGAGTTATGGATACGTTATGGAACAGGTGAGAAAAGACACTTAATCCTGCTTCATATTCTGTACAAGAAACTTGAGCAACAAATGCCCAGTGTTCTTATCAAGGCACATATTCTTAAGGGTGATGAGCAAAATTGGAACAAAACTTGGAGCCATTTATCTTCTAAGTGGGTCGACTGAAAACTTAATCTTGGAAGAAACTAGCTGCAGATAAAAACTTGTTTTCCCTTCAAGACTCATATACGTTGTACTTTGTTCATTCATCAATCCCTTTTGTCCTTATTCTGGCTATGCCACAGATAACACATTGAAGATCCATTGCTTTCTGATCAGTTTTTGAAAGTGGACGAGGGGTAGCCATCGATCTTCTAAGTAAATGGGCATTGGGTTTCGTTGTCGTTGCTTTCTCAGAAGACTTGGAATCTTGTTGTGATTCACTGGTTCCTGCTACATTTTGACAAGTTTTTTTTCCAGGCTTTTTTCTACTGTATATTATTTGTAGCACTTGTTGTTACAATGACAAAATATTGAATTCTCTACCCATCAGTTTCAATCTTTTGTGAACGTTGTTTTCCTGTATTTTTTCAACATCTCAAACCCTCTTCTGTCCAGCCACAGTTGATGTTAGCTTTTCTTTCATATCAGTGGGGTCCTTGGTTATCCTTGGGATGACATTCATAATAAAAATGTATAAATAAATAATGATACTAATAGAATAGAAAAATTAATGCGTACCCAAATGGTGAGGGCGAGGTGGGGGAATTCAAAATAAGAATTATTTGAAGAATATAAAAAAAAAAAATGGACAAACTCAAAATCTAAATTTAAGCCATTTGGGCTAAGGCTGTCTAATTCACAAATCAATTTGCATTCCACCCTTCTGAGTTCCCTAAAGTTGTCCTCCAATTGTGCTTTTTCTTACAAATGGCTATAAAGCCCAACACCGATGAATCATTGTTATGTGCTTGAGCGAAATGGGCTGATACACTATGTTTGGTGTATCCCCTCTGGATATTTCCCATGTGTTCCAGTATGCGTGTTTTTAAGTTCCTTGTTGTCATACCCACATACTGCAAGCCACAGGGACACTAGAGGAGGTACACCACATTAAAAGAGTGACAGGTCAAGATATCTTGGATTTTATATTTCTTTTTGGTAATGTTTGATTCAAATTCAGTCTGTTTTGATTTATTAAAACTTGTTCTCTTAAAGCTGTGCACATTTTACAGGGAATCTTTTTTGTAAGTTAAAAACATTCTCCTTATCTGTTTCAAGGATGTGCCAATATTTTTTAAGGATTTGTTTAATTTGTCTAGAGTTCCCATTAAAATATTGAAATATTGAAGTATCCCTTTTCTTCAAATTTTTGGGGTTATCCTTTTTATATATTAATAGATTTTCCCTGTTGAGTGATTGTACTTCCAACCTTTGTTTCTCAAGGGTTTTAGGTTCATAATTTTTTTCTTTAAAAAAAGTTAGTTAAAACATTAGCTTGGGCTTGAAATTGTTTGATGTCATTTCATTTTCTGAACATTCTTGTATATTGTCCTTTGCGGAAATCTTTTGAGCCATGGGGGGTGATGGCAACCAGTTAAATTTATATACCCATTGATATTGACTTTTTTAACCCCTTAAGGACACATGACGTGTGTGACATGTCATGATTCCCTTTTATTCCAGGAGTTTGGTCCTTAAGGGGTTAAAAAAAAGTCCTTGTTTTTAAGGATTGATTTTCAACATAAATTTCTAAATCTAAAAAATGTATTGTCTTATAATTATATTCACTAGTTAAAATGATGCCCTTCTAATTAGAATGTAAAAAATAAATAAAATCCTTTAACCCCTTTAGGACCAAACTTCTGGAATAAAAGGGAATCATGACATGTCACGTGTCCTTAAGGCGTTAAAAGATCACTGCCACCCTTCCAAATAAAAAAAAGATCATCTATGTATCTGATATAGAGAACCAAGGTCACACGCCAAGTCACGCTTGTTCCTTAGAAGGATTCTTCCCAAAATGACATAATTAGATTAGCATAACTGGGTGCGAACTTGGTTCCCATCGCAATACCCATAAGAAAACAATGTCCATCAAACCAAAAATAATTATTATGTAAAATAGGTTCTATACTATCCATATTAAAATCTATCTGTGCTGTTGGAAAAGATTGGCCCATTAAAAATATTTAACTGCCTCACATAACAATTTATGTGAGATAATGGTATATAGACTGGTGACGTCGCAGGTTACCAAGATGAGGTTCTCCTCCCACTTAATACTACTGAGATCCTGTAACGGTTGTGTGGAGTCCCTCAAATAGGTTAGCTACGACGTCACCAGAAGTTGTAATTGTCTGTCTACTGAAAGGTAAATCTGCTACTCTGGTGACTCGGTCCCTCTGGTCACTATTCTCCAACCCTCGATTGTCAGCTGAATATTCAGGGAAGATTTTTATGGAAGCGTATTAACCAGACACACACTTTTTGCTCTCCATAATCTTCTGATCGTTTATTCAAGATTCGCTATATTTATACTATACTTGTCACGAATATTGGTTACAAAAGGTTACAAAAAGGTTACAAAAAGGTTACACAAGATACATAAAAGAGGAAGTAGTTTCTGCTGTTACATTCAATAATCTAATCTTACAAAATATCACATATACATTGTGGTTAGGCATTTCCTGATACATAGAAACTGTCATAGCTTGTGACTTCCTTTCAATTATGTTTTGCAAGCAGTTCTGAAATACTGACAGATTAATTGTTTAACCCCTTAAGGACCAGATTTCTGGAATAAAAGGGAATCATGACATGTCATGTGTCCTTAAGGGGTCAATATTCCTTCATTTCCCCCTCTTTGAGCAATATCTTGCTCATACCCTATTTAAGGAGTCCTGGTCAGACAACCAGCCATCTGCCATGGTATATTCAGGATTGCTAGCCAATCCTGCAGGTCTTTCATTATGTCTTCGGCCACTATTCCCATAGCATAGGACTAGGCATCTGACCAGCACCACAAACTTATAGATCTGTATCAGTATGTTCACCATTGCTTCGGTTATGTGTATACATTTGGAGATACTCATCATTTCAAGCTGGGGATTTTACAGGAACAGTGTTGCTTGTATGTTTGTAAATGCAGAATACAATAATCTTGAAAATAGCATAAACAAGTAGAGCAAGGATCAGAACCATAACAATAAGTATTGCAATATTCTTTAGCCAGTCTAGGATACTGTCAAACTTAAACATATCTGCCCATGGGTGATCAATACCTGAATTCCTCTTCATTTCTATGGATAGGTCTTCCAATTTCTTTATAGCTAGGGTTACTTTACCATTAGGGCCAGTGTTCTCTGGAATATAGGTACAACAAACACCGGAGTCAAGTAATTTACAGACTCCTCCCTTTTCTGCTAAAATCATATCAAGGGCCATTCTATTCTGGAAAGTCATTTGTGAGGTAGCCTGTAATTGTTCAGCAAGACCTTGTAATGCATCTCGTGTATAATTTACAAATCTTTGCTGATTATAATATATATAATTAATCCAGTTAACATTCTTGTTAGCTGTTATAATGGGAAATATTGATTCAAATCCTGCTGCCACCTCGTCTCTAGCTTTAAATTCATTAGGAACCCCTCTTGGAATACCAATGGCATCTAGATAGATATGTGGGTCGAAACTACCTTGTGGGGATTCCCTTTTCCTTCTTGTGGAATCAGTTACAACCTTAATTTCAGGGAGAGAGTCGCCAAATATATGGAGGGGCATGATTATTTTGGCTGGGGCACATTCTCCTCTCCAGGGGGTGGGGAGTCTAGAACGTATTTTCATATCTCCACATATTCAATAAACATCTCCCACAGATTGTGTTTGATTCACTAAGGTACAGAATCCTGAAGAGAAGTTATCAAATTGTGTACCCACCTTACCATTATTATTTCCCTGAAAACAAGTATAATTACCAGGATATACTGGGACAACATCATTTAAATTAAACTTGGGTTCACCAATAGGGTGACCCTTTTTCCATTCTTCACATTCTGTAGTATTAACAGTGATACCTGAAAACAAACTTAGGAAACATTCCCAGTACTCATCAGGGACATGTAAAGGTACAGTTCCTAGATGAGGTCTGGCACTACCACATACATAACAGTTTGACCTATTGTTGGAATGGGCATTATATCTCATCCATTCCAGCCATAGGTTTGTATCTGCATACCCTGTTTCTAACGCTATGGTATCTCCAAACGTGGGATCTGCTTTGGCCATCATATTACCAAGGGTCTGAATGTGGGGCTTTAGAGGATTAACAAGAGTTTGTCTAGAGGTGAGGCTTTCCCATTTTGAGGAGTTCCATATATCTTTTAACTGGATTTTTCCTCGATTACCTCCAATACCTCCTCTTAAAAAGGTACTGAGAATATAAATACCTTGATCTCCAGGACTGGGGTTTTCAATATTTAAGGTAAATTTCATGGAGTGCCCAGTTTGCCCTATAGGGGTACATGTACCTGGCTTTGTTAGGGTCATTCTAGTCAAGAGGGACTTCCCATTCGTATCCTTTTTATCTAATGCATTCTGTGGCTTATAACCCCAATCTGTCCCGGTGTTCCATCCAACTGAGCCCCAATAATCACAATTGTTACCCCTCTTTGAGCAATATATATTGCTCATATCATCGGATAACATTCTCCCAAGACAGAGAAATTTCCACATTATGGCATTCCCAAGCAATCATGTGGTCTACAAGAAACAGAAACTCAGCAGAAAAAAAACAAAACAAAAACCACTTAATACTTTTGCAGACAGATATATAGAAAATGGATGTTTAAGACAGAATGGAACTTGGGCTTATAGCAACTATATTATAGCACAACCAGGACCTTGCGTCCTATATCTTTTAACCATTTCCCTATTCCAAAAGTCCAGTCAAAACCAGTCATATCCTCACGCAGTTCCTCAAAACATGGGAATCCATCCCTGGCACACTCAACATATATAAAAAACACACATAGTACATCCATCCCTGGGTCAGCTAACACTTCCTCTCTCTCTGGCTAACTCTACAAAAATAAAAATAAAAATAGTTCAATAGTTCAGCATAGTTCAGAAAAATAGAATAAGTCTTTCACAGAGTATAAAGAAATCAGGTTAGACACCAGACATTTTGTTCCATAAAAATGGCTAAGGGTAGCAATATGGCTGACAACAAGACAATGTCAGCTTCCATATAGTTCTTAGTTCTTCTTTTGTTTGCTGGATTTTCACCACAAAGCTCTGTGCAACACCCCAATGGTTGAAAGGGTTATTACAGAACCAGCGGCATTAGACAGCACTGCACCTTCAGGACTTTCCAGGTTCTTGCGTGCAAAGTTTATGTCCTCATAAATAAGTATCTCAGTTTCTTCGGCCTGCATGTTTAATGACCAAACAGATGTAATTGCAAAATACTTATTGCATGGTCAGCCAGAGAGATTGGTGTGTAGTCCCAGAAATCAGGCGGCACAAACACTCCAGGACGGTCTCTACAATCATACAAACACAAGGATCAATACAACATGAATTAATTACCTAGGCTAAAACTTAAATTAGAGATTAAGGTTAAACCCTTAATTTGTGTAACATGTACTTCTCTTATATTTTATGCAATCTGTCTTCTATAAAGTTTTACATAATACCCCTTTGGAATGCCTTTGCACGGATGAGAGTAGCACTCACTCTATAGAAATCCTTGTTAGGATGAATATTAAAACACTAACATATACATATGGGGATAATTCCCAATAAAACTCTGTTCCTAAACTGGAACCTTGATTTGATATTCAAAATTAATTACTTTAGTAATCCCGAATAATTCAATACTCTTGGATTAACACCTAAACCTATATAAAATATTACAAACATGAACCATCTGTGTATTAGGCTGGGGTTGTTGGGTGTGGGTATAGGTTGGAAGCTATGGTTGGTATTGAGGAATCTGTGGGGGTGGGTTTGGGCACTCATTTTTCCAGTGACCCTGCTATCCACAATTAGAACAGTGTGTTCCACCAATGCTGAAGTTGTTACCTCTACAAAAGTTAGACCCTTTGACTAAATCCTCTACCTCTGCCTTTATTCCATATGCAGGATGGGATTACCTAACTCACAGCCCCCTCTTTGTGTACCACACAGATATAATATTAATAAGCTTTTAAAGGCTGTATGGATAGTTAAATTTTGTATATAAAGCAAGGTTGTCTAGGGGTATATACATCGACAATGAAAGCATAGCCTTCATATAGGGCTTGCAATACTGACAGTCTGTGTCATGAGCATAATGCAGACATGCGGTTAGGTACTTTTCCATTATTATAATATATTGAAAACACTAAGACCTTGCAAATTTTTAAAACGCATATTGCTTCCTGTACCTGGTGCCGTGCAAGGATGTAGTTGGGACATATTTCAAATTGAGTATCAAAAGTCTAACCACAAAACTAAATGTTATACGCTTATCAAGAAAACAAGTTTAACCCGTTAGTGCGTACTTTGGATAGCCTCTTTGCATAAATTGGCACGTAGTGAGATTATTATATTATTTATTAATGCTCTTCTGGATCTGCAAAATGCTTTCAATTTACCCATACAAATATAATACAGTAGTTTAGGAGATTAAAATTACCTCACTTATAAATTTCAGAAATTGTCTAATCTCTATTAAAATACCATTTTATTATTACCCCATAATCAAGGTGGCATACTAGATGAATCTTACTTTGACACAAACAATGCAATATACTTTAAAAGTAGAGTTAACTCTGAGCTGGACAATACTCCCCTATTAGAACTCCTTTATGAGGGAGAGACATCTTGTCCATTCAATCCTTTTTATCAGTAAAAGAATGACTTTCAGGATTAATCAGTTTGCAAATGGAAATGTGGAGCCACGATTTGAACAGCAGAAGTTTGCAGGGCCCCTTTCACGTGGGATGTAACAAGCGCTTTTCGTGCTCCATGAGCGATAGCATACAATTGTTTCATTCTAGCCGGCTGGACAGCATTTCACCTTTTGTAAAAACACTAAATGCTTGCGTTAATGATATGCAAATCACTCTGCTAGTTAAACTCCTACACAATGGACAATAAAATACATGAAACACATAACACACCAATTCATTTCAAACCATATAACTCATACTCAGCATTCAATGTAATATTACATGTCATCTCACAAAACAGACATCTCACAAAACAGACGTAGTAGATACACGTATCGGGTACCCAGCAGATATGCCAATACAGAAAACACATTCATGAGCACACAACTACACACTCTGTGTCCCTCCTAGGAAACACAGGTAGACACAATATGAAAGCAGTCTTAAACTAATACCTCCAAATCTCCATTCCCATATAGCTATATCAGAACACAATCAGAAAACAACACAGCAACATATAAATTAAACCACTTTCCAGTTAAGCTGCACACTTCACACATTATCACAGTCACCATTTACACAGAATAAACAGTTAACAGCTGTACTCAGAACATATTATTGTAAGGTATACCAATTTTAGTTTATATTAGATTTATTTTAGGGATTCTTATGTATACTTTTTTTTTTATTAATTCTTATTAACTTCATTACTTTAATCTACTATAGTATTGTATATAGAGAAAGGATCCATTTATATAGCGCGCTCATAACTCAAATATTTGTATGAAACTTCCATTAACTAATCTGAGATGATACTGCATCAACTTAAATCTTATAGAAATTGAGCAAACATTTGGACCAGATTACACAGACATGGTTTCACCAGAATCTTACAGAACTCTCAGAGACTTAAAAAAAATTATTCTATACCATGTTTAAAAGGCATGGCAAACCTTAGACCGGTCAGCCTCCAAGAGCCTTAGTAAAACAGGTAGAAACCTTTGTCCATAATCTCTGATCCAGGCTATATACCACAATTTAAAAGAACAGAACACATATAATGTGAGACATAGAAGACACAAAACATATGCAGTAGTTATTACACTGGATCATTTAAAAGGAATCTGTTGCAATAAAAAGGTTAGTTTACAGCGCAAAATGAAGCATGTGTTGGACCGCTGAAAATGTAAATGTTGCTCTCTTATTAACAAACAAAAATCATATTTACAGTATGGATCCTTTGCAACAAACACACAGGGCAGGGAAGATGTGCTGATTGGTATTCTATACAATTAATCCCATATGGGGAATTAACTTTCAAATACTAATGAAGTGACATTTTGTCTCAGTTATAAAAATACTGAGCTCATCATGCAAACAATGCAACACATTTACACTATCCCACTCTCATAGAAAGTGTAGTGGGCTTATGGTATTAAAGCAACAATCATACCAGGCACACAGATCCCATGTGAAATAACTTACAATACAACAGAGTAATAAACTTATACTTATATGCAACAGAAAGAATAAAGCAAAAGATTTAAGTAGGTCTATCAGGTACAACCTGCAAGTCAGTTCTTTTCTAATATACAGTACTGCTATTATATATATATGTATATATATTGGTCACTCAGGACCAGAACTTACATTTCCCATACTGCTGACTCAGGGTGGACACACTACTAACTTACCAAAGTGTGTCCCCAGTATAGACAATCACCCAATTGATGGAGAATCATTGTTTGCAATAAAGACATGGACACTACAAATGTGCTTTAACAAGATTCTCAGTGAGTATATTTTCAGGGTTAGCATATAAAGCAAAAATAGTTTAACTATTTCATATCCTTACAGTCAGCACTACTGATTATAAACCTTATTTAAGCATAAAATACATATGAACAAGAAAAGTTAACTACTTCATATTCTTACATGGTAATTTCCCATTCCTAGGACAAATCTTTCAAACACTTATTCACACTCACAACCAGACTTAACTAATGACAATTAGAGGGTGGACAAGGTGAACCTGAAACTCTGTGCACACTATCGTAGTATATTCACTTATATACTAAATTCTCTGTCTATATCACTTTATAGACTTTATCTGTCCAATTCTCTTATTAGACCTTCTCTAGTTCACTTACTAGAAATACATATATCTCTCTGTCTAGTTCCCTTACTAGACTAATTTAACGGGACCTTATGTAAAACTGAGTCACAGAAAACACATATACTAAATAACCTTTCCTAAAATGATGTAGACTTACAAAACCATGGGGATCATAGATTCAGGGCGTCAAGATAGACACAAGGAATTACTACTCACCCAAAATGGTTTTGGCTACAATCCCACTTCTGACACCAAGCTGAAAGGTAAATCTGCTACTCTGGTGACTCGGTCCCTCTGGTCACTATTCTCCAACCCTCGATTGTCAGCTGAATATTCAGGGAAGATTTTTATGGAAGCGTATTAACCAGACACACACTTTTTGCTCTCCATAATCTTCTGATCGTTTATTCAAGATTCGCTATATTTATACTATACTTGTCACGAATATTGGTTACAAAAGGTTACAAAAAGGTTACACAAGATACATAAAAGAGGAAGCAGTTTCTGCTGTTACATTCAATAATCTAATCTTACAAAATATCACATATACATTGTGGTTAGGCATTTCCTGATACATAGAAACTGTCATAGCTTGTGACTTCCTTTCAATTATGTTTTGCAAGCAGTTCTGAAATACTGACAGATTAATTGTTTAACCCCTTAAGGACCAGATTTCTGGAATAAAAGGGAATCATGACATGTCATGTGTCCTTAAGGGGTCAATATTCCTTCAGTCGCATTCAACCATCTAATCACATACACCAAAACACGTGTACATATTAAGGAATGAGGGGAGTGAACCTATGGTTTGTGTTTTTGCCTTTCATTATAAAACCAAGCTAAGAAACAGCAAAATACTTGTTAACATTCCATAGCATGTTCTGTGATTTTAGCATGTTCTGTGATTTTGGCATGTTCTGTGATTTTAGCATGTTCTGTGATTTTAGCATGTTCTGTGATTTTAAGATGTTTCTTTCTTTGTTTTTTTGTTAACAGTCCATTGGAAATATTACGTAGTTACATGGTTACATAGCTAATAGGAGACATGCATTCAATCCAAAAGTCAAAATTGAAGCAAACTAGGAAAACACCCCTTCTTCACCCCAGAGTGGCATCTGAATGTCCTGTCCCCCAGTCTATCTAAATCCCTCTGTAGCAAAGTAATGTCCAGCTCACCTTGGATTACTTTCAGAGTATTGTGTCATCTTCAATCACTGGCATATTACTATTTTGAGATCATTTCTAAATATGTTAAATAGAAGGGGTCCCAGAACAGACCCCGAGGGTTCTGAGGGTTGCCACTTCCATCCAGCTTAAACATTTACCATTAAATATAACTCTCTGTACTTTATCTTTAAAATAACATTTTTATAAAAATACTTCAAATAGTGAATTAACAAAATAGAAAGAAAACATAAAACATATTATTGTTTTAATTAATTAATGCTTTACGTTATAATTATATATTATGTTTTAATTATTTGCTATTATTTTTTAATTATTTGTTTTAATTTTTTTCTTCTAACATCAAACTTTACAATAATCTTAACAATTTGCTGTGTCAGCCGTGAATAATTAATCACTATGTTCCCCAAAGAGTTGTAGTAAAAGGTTGCAATTACAAGGCATATCATTATACTGTAATAACATAGTTGAAACCCGCAATTACATTTCAAATATTTCTAACTTGTCCCTAAAGATTGTGAAATAAAAGGTGTGATCATATAAATGTCCATCTAGGAATGCTCCCATAGTGCATGTTTTATCATTGTGGATTCTGATGTGTCCACAAAACTTTGGACATTTCTCGTATTTCTGAGGATATTAAAATCAGAAGAAAATATTCTTAACAGAATTGATTCCCTAAAATACCTGGACTGCCTGAAAAATATTCTGGCACCATCCAGAGGCACTCGGTTTTAAAATTACAGATATTGTTATTACAATTTTTTAATGCAACCTCTGAGATACAGAGAATATAGATTGGATCTAAGCTTGTCATGATGCAAACTGAATTATCGACATAGACAATCGAACATTCAAATACAATGACAATTAGACTTAACTAGCAGTAATCTGTCTGTAGATTGCTTCCTGACAATATTGTACAACTCATCCACAGGTTGCTGCCACTGCCAGCTGGGGGATATTGCAGATTTCTGTATGTTCACCTGAAAAAAAATCAGGTAAAGTAATTTTGTGAATTTGTCCTCTCCTGGATTTGCTCCAAGTTTATCCAATTGATATTCAGAGTTTGCATTTCACGAGAGAATTACTGATTTTAGAACACATACTGTGTAGTACTGAATGCCATGAAATAGATACATTTCAACCAGATTTGCCTTTATAAAACATGAATATTACAGATTTATTTGAAATTTAGTCATTTTGTTTTTCAATGCGTAATAACACATTTAGAGTTAGTTTCAGAATACTGTATTAGTCTTCCTGTAAAGTCATCTAATTTAGTTTAAATATATCTTGTTATTTGCATTTTCACATAATTATTTAGGGAATTACATTTTGACAAATAGACTTATTCACAAAAAGGGTATTTTTGCCAAATGACAGTGTATGGATAATGTTATCAGTGGGGTGTGGGGAGTGCACTGTGGAAACTAGCATAGGGGCTGCAAGGAGAGCGAACCTGGGTAGCCATACTTGCATCTCTGTGGTCAAACCCACCATTTCTCCGATCAGAAGCCAGGCAGGTAATTGAGAGGTAGTGTACTTTAAAACCCGGTAAATCTCTCTCTGTATTAATGCTGCTTCATCTGCGAGTAAGTTATTCCATGTATCCACAACCTTCTTTGTAATATAATGTGTTTTATATTTTGACATACAGAAGGTTCTTCTTATCAGAGAAAGGGTCTTTGCTGGATCTCCATCATTAATCAATATTACATGTGCAGAGTAGGCTGGGCACTAAGTGAATCTGTATGGGACCCACAATTGACTCGGAAAAACAGACTTCTGATTCAAGTGCCTCGTCGCTATAATCACACATTATTAAAGGTAACGTATATATATCCATCTTTTAAAATCAGTAATCTACTACCTCTTTGACATCACTGCAAAACGTTATTGTTTTTATTGGAAGGCTATTTCAGGTATATACTACCCTTTCTATGTCACTTTTAGCCTTTACTGCTTCCATTGGTGGCTATTCCATGTATCTCCTACCCTTTATATACCACTGTTATAACTCTCTCTTTCTCTTTCTCCTTTCTCTCTCCCTTCCCCTATCTCTTGTTCACTCTCTCCCTGTCACTCTACCCCTCATTTGTCACTGACTCTCTCAGCTAAAAAAATCTCCATATTTTTATCTATGATTCTCTCCCTACCCTATGATGGTGACAAGAAGGAAAGTCAGTATGGCCACTGCTAAATACCATTTTTGCACAACTTTTCTTTAACACATTTTACCACGTCAAGCTCCATCAAATCAAACCCCATTGTGTAGCCCTTTTTTGACAGAGTAAGTAGCAGTAAATGTGACTTGGAATAATATGTACAGGCGCATCTCTATATCTCTAGTAATGTTTTGATACCAGGATTATTTAATATTCAATTTTTCAAATTTTAATTTAACTTTACCCAACAGGATGGAGCTACGTGTGATGTCGATGTTTTCCATATACCTCTTCCTTCTTACGGCATGGTGCCGTGATGGAGCCTCTGGCTCGAAGCAGAAAGGGTGTGAATTACTCTGTGAAGACAGCTTGGGATATATTTCATCAGGAGACATCACTCTTGGTGGACTCTTCGCTGTGCACCTAGATGTGGAAAATCCAGAACTGTCATTCAGGAGAAAACCCGGGCTACTGAAATGTAGAAAGTAGGTCATTCAGACACATTGCTTATTTCACGAACACAATAGGAAGCAGTTTAAACTTTATTAGTTAGTTCACAATGGTATTTAGATACTGTATATCGAGTCAACTTTTAGGTAAATGGAATCTGTTATATTGAACTCATTATTTTCTGTTCCTCTGTCACTCTTCATTCCATCTCTCCCTTGCCACACAGGTGTTTTAGAGGGACCTGGTACTCTATGCATACAGCAGGATGTGACAATGCTAGCCTGCTGTATGCATAGAGTCCTTCCTCCTCCCATCTCTGGCCATTAGACATTATTGATTCTCTGTCTAATAATGGATAAAGAGGGGACGGTTTACTATATCTTACAGAGAGGAGCTCCCTTCTTCTTCCTGTATATTCTCTAACAGCCTCTCATGCCCTGGTCTTACAGACAGTAGCTCACTTGTTGATTCTTACTCACCTAACAGTGAAAGACTGCTGGCTGAAAGTCAATTCTAGAACAAAGGGTAAGATTAATGAGGAATCGTGGGCTACTTCAGGCTTTATAACACTTCACAATGAAAAAAAACAGACAAATATGGTCTTAATATACCTAAGGTTGGTAGAATCTCATGTAATGGATTATATGCATCTCATGCCTTTTTTATAATGTTTCCATATGTTTCTCCTGTGTGATATTCACTAAACACAGTGTTCGATATAGTGACATTATTCCTAAATATTTTCTCATTAAACATCAAAGTAAGCAGGCACAAATAATTAATTTCAAAGTTTTGTTTGTATTTTTAGCTTTCATATCAGATATTACCGATTTCTCCTATCGATGGTTTATTCCATAATGGAGATTAACAAGTCTCCCGACCTCCTACCGAATATCATTCTAGGTTTCAAACTCTACGATTCCTGTTACAATGAAGTCAGAGGTTTGATAGGCACAAAATGGATATTGTCAGGATCCAAAGATGTTCCAACGACTTTTAATTATAATTGTTATAAGGATACCATGCCTCCTGCTATAATTGGAGACTTGACATCTAAAGCTTCAATCCCGATGGCTTGGATACTGGGCCTTTTCAGATACCCTCAGGTAATCCGCTATGGCATCAACATATTGTATGATGGAGAAAGAGGTTTTATCAAACAAGAAACTGTTGTATAGGTGTTTTATCTTAATGTTGATGGGCAGATTTAGTAACTTTTATTATTTCAAATAAACCTAGTAACTATATACCCCCATAGATACAATGTGCCCATTACGGTGAATCCTCCTGGCACTTATATTTTCACTTTTTAAAAAACAAAGAGTACTAAGTGTTCCCAATCTACAATGAAAAAGTAACAGTTTTTATTAAAAAAAAACACTCTGCTTCTATAGATTTCATTACCAAAAACTCCTGTAAAATAAAATAATTTGATACATACGTCAACCAGTCTCACATGGACAACTGATAAAGAAAGACATCGCTTGAAACAACAAAACAACTGCAAAACAAAAATAAACCTACACAACTCAGCAACCATTAAATAAAACCATTGTGTACAGTTCCTTCCAACCCCAATATATATTGGGGAGTCCGAGAACTGGCCTCCATCTAACTCTTTTTTTAGGGGAAGCAATTCCATGTTGAGAATTCTCTAAGAAGCTTAGATGAGGCATACTTTGTCCAGTGTGTCAGGTACTTGCATTAGATTCTCAGCACTTGGGAATGATTTTAATCATTTATTTTACTCCAGTATAGTATGTAATGATTCATACAAATAAACAGTCGTAATAATTAAGGAAAAACTTGTATTTAAAGCTGTATACCTTGAGCAATTCAGTGATTTTCTGAGTCATGGTGGAAAGCCAGGATTTTATTAAAGACATGGAGGCGATTAGTATTAATTTCTCTTTCTCTACTTCGAACAGCAGCAAATTAATAGAGTGAAATGAATTAAAAAGCAAACAAAGTACTGCTGGTGACACCATACACGTTAAGCCAATCACATCGATCAGCTATAAAGTCCCCTGTCAACTTGCAAGATGAAGTCCATAATCAACTGTGAAGAACTTAAATATCAAAATGTCATATAAACATTTTAACTTTCATGTATTTTGCAGTATAAAATCTAGTCCATAAAGCATTCGGGGTGACGAGACCAATCTCGCCACATTGCATTGGAGAAGCCTGGTTGCTCGCCTGTTGCCTTTGGATTATGGCCCCATGTTAAAAGGCTTGATTTTCCCCTGCAAAGACATGAAAGCCGGGTCATTTGGTGCTTGCCCTGTTTGAGTGGTGATACTCCAGATAGCTATGACATGGAGCCCATTCGTATAATTAAAAGACTATGGGAAAGACTTTGGCTCCATGGCAACTGAACTGTATGTGTGTGATCTGAGCGCCATTCAGTAATAATGTGCGCTCAGATCTGAGCTATCTGGGGATATGTTGAATGTACCTGTTTTGTGCAATGGCTGCACAGTTATATGTTTTTATGTGTTTTATTGTCTTCTGTATTCAATGGAGTTTTGCCTCTGTCCTAGGAGATAATTGGATTACTTCCCAATTATCTCCAGGATAGAAGACGCTGTGGAACTGGTTTTGGGCAGAAAAGCCAAGCTTCCTTTGGTCACAAAGGAGTACGATCTATCTTTTGAACCACTGGACCAATTTGTATGATTTTGACGTATGTTTGTATTTGGAGTATGCTGATTCTGAAAATGTAAGTTATATGTGAATGTGATGCATACTTCTCAAGTTATGAATAATGTGGTAAAATTGTATTTCTCTGCTTGTTATAATTATATTACCCATTGTGTAAGGTAATTGAATCACAGGCAGAGGGGAGGATTTTGTGTGGGAGTGTCTGAGTGTATTGTATGTGTTTATTGGTTGTGTTCCAAAACCCTGTGGGTGGTACTAATGTGTAAGAATGTGTACATAAGAACAATAAACCCACAACTCTGTCTGTTCACTGCTTGACCCTCAACACGGAGCTTTGTCTCGTTCTTGGGGGGATGTATTGTATGCTGTTCCAGTTTGACTGCTAGGAGTGTAAACCTATTCGTATGGTTTTTCCTATTCGGCTGTTTACGGCATTCATATGGTTTCCTGTTCGGCGGATTGGTGTTCTGCAGTAGCTGTGCTTGCATCTCTGGGAGGGGAAGATCTACTAAATGGCGGTTTAACCCTTTTATGCCTGGGGGTGCCGTTACACTCAGTAACCCCAAGTCCATAAAGCCTCAGCAACAATATGATTACCAGCTAGTAGAGGAAAACATGTATCTGTTAGAAGCCACTAGTCACTGATATAATGAATGTAACTGGGCTGAAAATGTCAGATCTACCTGTTTTCACATAGTACAAAACATTCCAATGGGTCATACCATTCTTACAGTCAGGAAGTTAAAATCCCACTTATCTTATATTAAGAAGGCACTATAGTCACTAAAACAGCTTTAGTTTATTGAAGCAGTTTTGGTGTAAAGATCATGAAAGATACATGAAAGTTGGTGGGACCATCCCTGGATTTCCCACTCACAGCACCTGAGTACAAAGCTCTTTAGCTTAAGGTTAGCAATGTGTCAAGTATTACATTTCACCCAACCTATGGGGCTTTCTCAAATGTATTACTTATCACTAACACAACCCCACAATACATGATTTAATACGCAAACTAATAAAATATTAAAAATGAAATTGAATTATACATTTAAAGGTTAAATAAATATTTAATGTTTAATATGGAATATTTTTTAGCTACCAGTAGCAAGGAAAAACCATATAATTATTTCCTTTTTCATTTATGTCTGTAGGTTAGCTATGGTGCATCTCATCTAAGTTTGAGCGACAAGGTGCAGTTTCCATCCTTCCTTAGGACAATGACTAGTGGTAACAAAGAAATTCTTGTTATTGCTCAGTTAGTAAAATATTTCAACTGGACATGGGTGGGCATGATAAATTCCGATAATGAGTATGGAAGATCGGGTGGCCCATTGATACAGAAAGAAATTGAAAAGAACGGTGGATGCATTGCCTTCACAGAAACACTACCAATCTACAGCTCACAAAAGGTGGTTTTACAAGTAGTAGAAGTCATTAAAGAATCCAACGCTACAGTCATTATTGTATATTCCAGCATGGAGAATCTCATATCTTTAATGGAGGAAGCTTCATCCCATGATATTACTGACAAAGTATGGATTGGCTGTTCTAGTTTCTCTATTACATCAGACTTTCCTAGAAAAGACATTTTAACAACCTTAAATGGAAGTCTGAGTGTGTCAGTTCCTCTTGGTAAAATCCCAGGGCTTACAGAATTCCTTTACAGCATTCATCCTTTTAAATTTCTAGGTGACATCTTCATCAAGACATTTTGGGAGAAGGCTTTTGGATGCATCTGGCCAGAAGAGGGCTTTCACAACAGCACGGCACAAACACTATTTGGAGAAAGAATTGTGTGGTGCAGAGGAAATGAAAGACTGGATAGTATTGATGCAAATATTTATGATGTCTTCAACTTCAGATACACCTATAAAATCCACAATGCAGTTTACGCAGTAGCTCATGCCTTGCATCAGATGAATTCATGTGTAGCAGGCAATGGGCCTTTCAAGAATGGATCTTGTGCAAACATTTATAATCACCAACCATTTCAGGTATTGTCTGTTTTTCTCTCCATATATCCATCCATCTACTCATCCGCTCATCCAACCAACCAACCAACCAACCATCCATCCATCCATCCATCATTAAAATATTCCTAATACTTAATATGCTATAGTGCCAGGAAAACAAAGCCGTTTTACTATGACTATGGAATCGTACAGTGACCTCCTCCCTTACGCCCCCTCCCTTTGCATTGAAGGGGTTAAAATACCTTTGGTCACTTACCTACATCCAGTGCTGATGTCCCTTTCAAAACAGGAAGTCCCCTCTAGCCTTGTACACAGCCATTAGAGGTGGAGATAACCCTCAGAAATAATTATTGCAGTTTCTCAGAAACCGCAATAATTACCTTTGCACGGTTGAGGGACATGGGACATTGCACCCAGACCACTTCAATGAGGGGTGTGGGTGCCTACAGTATCCATTTAAACACAGCTTGGATAGAACACAGGAATTGTTTTTGTTTGTTTTTTTTAGAAAAAACAAGAACTATATCAAGGTTTGAATCAAGTTTAAATTGATGAAACAATACCATTTACACATAAAAAAAAGTGAAATCTTTCATTACAGCTACTTTATTATCTCAGAAATGTTAACTTTAGAAACCCAGGAGGAGAAACTATTTATTTTGATAAGAATGGAGATATCCCTCTGTACATGGACATCTTAAACTGGCAGCTTTATCCCAATGGCAGCAATCAATATGTACATGTTGGTAGTTACGACGCGCGTTCTCCAAAAGGCCAGGAACTGACAATTGATCAGAGCAAGATTGTATGGAATATAGGTCATGATAACGTAAGTGGAACATAGGCTATGATAATGTAAGTGGAACATAGGCTATGATAATGTAAGTGGAACGTAGGCCATGTTAATGTAAATGGGACATAGGCTATGATAATGTAAGTGGAACGTAGGCTATCATAACGTAAGGTGAATGTAGTCCGTTATAATGTAAGTGGAACGTAGGCTATCATAACGTAATGTGAATGTAGGCCGTTATAATGTAAGTGGAACGCATACGTGGACATATGCCACGTTAATGTAGGTGGGATGTAGGCCATGATATTGTAAGTGCTGCTAAACTTAGCATGTTAGAGAGACTGTTCTAGTCTGACTTTTCTGTAATTATAATATATACAGATGTAGAATATGATAAGAGAAGGTAGTAGAGGACTTAAAAAGACACCCCAGGCACCAGTACAACATTAATGTATTTGATGTGTAGAAAAAGGTGCAGGGAGGCAGCGCCTGTGGTACTGTTCTCAAATTCAAGGTAATGTGTGAAATAAGCAATGAGAACATAATATAGTGTAGTATGTCAGGAGTTCTGATATCTTAATAAGGACAAAAGTTGTACTTACAATTTTCTGGAGCTTATGTTTAGCTCCAGATTTATACGCATGGACGGAATAATATCTCTGGATATGGTAGTGTGTCCTCGTACTTATTAGTTGGTGCTGTTCTTCGTGCTTTTAGTGGTAGTGCCGTAGCCTGGCAGGGAGGTATCCTCAGTAGGCAGGAGAAGAAATAAGAACAGACTATAGTGCTCTCTATATGTTAAAAATAAGGATAAAAATAAAACAAGACATACTCACAAATGGGGAGCAAATGGAGGTATTGCTCAATCCTAAAGCGCTTATGTGGTATTATCCCCACCAAGGATATCACTGTGTGAATTTTCTGGATAAAAAAAAAAGCTTGAAAGATAGGTCTGGAATCTCCAAGTGGTATAAAATGAATAATAACATTTATTTGGAGATAAAAAAAAAAATAAGACCAAAGTATAAAAGAATTATAAAACACTAACGCGTTTCGCCTATCACACGCTTTCTCAAAGTGTTACAGTTTATGAGACCTATCTTGTTTAAATAGCTTTAGAACAGGTGGTGTAATCAGTCATGTGACTAAAAGTAAATTACTTAAAACATGAATAAAACTTAGTTTGTAGCAAAATCATACATACAATGTGCTGATTTCAGTGTTATACTGCTCATTTTTAGGGGAGAAGTAGCTCATTCACCTCCTCACCTTCGCCTCTTATAGTCCCTTTCCCTTTCCTTTTTCTTTTCTTTTTTGACTCTGGTTAAGGGAGTCAAAATCCAGAATACAAGCACCAAAAACTCCACCTCCTCATACATCTATTAATGTACTTGATATGTTTTTCCTCATTAACATTCTGTTCTTTTTGCATGCACAATTCTTTATACATTTTGCTACAAAAAATGAATGTTTTAACGATTTCTCTCTTTTTAGCCACAGCCCCTCTCCCCAAAATAAAACACTTACTTATGAAATGTACGTACACAGCTCAGCCACCATTAGTTACTGAATAATCTGAACAACCTGCATTATTTATTTATTTACAAAATATTTTACCAGGAAGGATACACTGAGATTTCTCTTGTTTTCAAGTATGTCCTGTTTGTCACGAATGTGGGCTATTGGCCCAGCTGAGACAGTGGGGAGATTGTGGAAGTGAAAGGATTAATGACACCAGGCCACTGGTTACCTGTTGCTAGTCCCAGCAACCACTAAATTAACCTCTGTAATTCCTTCTACACTAACACCCTACTTTACTGCCACCACCAAGACTTTATATCCGGGCGTCTTAGCTTACCCCACACACAGTAGAATTATAGTATCACAACCTTACTTTACTAATCAGACATATATAATTAACCCTTTTGGTAAGGTGTTTACCTGAGCTTTCCTCAGGAGAGTGAGCTCATAGAGAACAAAGACACAAGCTGATTAAGTAATCCTTTAATCTGACACAGAGGATTCACAGTGCTGGATACCAAAATACAGTAATAAATGACAAACAGAAACACAGATAACAAATTGCAAAACAGTCCATAAAATAAAATAGGAGAAAACCGTACATATATTTACCCCTTTTATATAAATTTTGTGGGAGATTCAGATGTTACAGGTCTCCAAGTAGTTGTTGAAAATAGAAATTAGAAAGCGAGGACAATCAGGGATACATATAGTACAATAATCACTACCTGTTTGCCATTTATCTGACTGTCTGCAGACAGTTTGTGAATTAAAAGCCAGTCACTCAGTGCTGCTGGGACTGAGGCTGTGTGAATACATTGATAAGGAAGTCTATTAAGTATTTTGATTGCTTTATGTTGGTATTACTGTGCATGTTCAGTGTAAATAATCATTTTCTCTCATTATTAAAATCTTAGGTCCCCTCGTCTGTCTGTAGTAACCCATGCTCACAAGGACAAAGAAAGACCACACACCAAGGGCAGAAGATCTGTTGTTTTGATTGCCTTCCCTGCTCTAAGGGAGAGATCCTTAACTCCAATGGTGGGTATAATACTTGCTCATTTTGCTTAACATGTTAAGTAAACAATCTGAAACATTCAGTTATTCCCAACTGTTGTGAAAGCATCTTCCCTCATATCCTTCAATCTCACGTGAATGGTTCCCCTGTTCGCTTCCTGACCCCTGTGCATTTCACCATCACATTAAGCTTCCCAAATAGCACAATCTATCTTCCATTCTTATTACAGCATTATTTTAGGCTCAGTGATCTTAAATTTAAAATGTTATTTTTAAGTATTATTTTCTATTTTTTTTTAAATTTGATACCTTAATTACACAGATTTCTTATTAAAAATCAACACTGCAACACTTTTTTTGTGTAATTTGTTTTAAAAAATATACAAAACAGTTAGTGTATGTAACGGAACACTGGTCTCTCACAGACTCTTTCCTCTGGTAGTCCAGGTGTGCCTCAGGAACAAGTAGTGACCCCAGGAGAAACATCCACAGTAATGGAATAATCCAACAGCGTAGCAATACAATCCAATAATATAATAATAATATCACCTTTCCCAATAACTGGACGACACACAGTATCAGGACCAGAACTTAACTAACATTTAATCACACAACCCCTGCTTTTATGCAATGCTCCCATGCAAGGGAGACACCCACAATAATTAGTATATTAACCAATAAAGTACAAGGTACAACCCACACATCTCCTCCCATCAGTTTATCTGTTAACAGAATTAACATGTACATATTTTTCCCCAAGTTCTAGATGTACCCCAAATACATAGGGTACACCCCTAAATGATCTGGATGAATAACATATTCAAAAATCACCCATATCGGACCCAGGGTTCGAGAGTTATGGGGGTTTAAAGTTTTGTGGAGGTCCCTTTAGGCCCACTGAAGCATGGCTTTCCAGCCCAAACCAGTTCCAAGACGTCTGACAGTGTGCCTGGGACAACGCCCTGCTGGAGAACAATGGGACAGGAAACGGGGGAGGGGTACACCTTACTATACACAATCTATACACTGTCTAATAGAAGTCCATACACTGTGCTTTAGCTGCATACTAAAAATCCATTACGCCCAAATACTGTCTTTAAAGGGCAATACCCCCAGGGCCATAGTCACATGGCAGGAGGCGGGCAAGCAAGCCCCTCCAAAAGCTCATGGCAAGCTCTCTTAAAGGGGTGAGTTTGCTACAGTGTAATCATGAAAAGTCAAGTGAATTGGAAATATGTGAGAATTAGAGAATACTAAGTCTTGTTATGGCTAAAAGTAAGATAATCAATAATCAAATCAAGTCATGATTAATGCTAAAATAATTCTTTCTTTATAAATTATTTCTAAAGAATTTCCAGAGTTATCTAGAATGGAACTGTTTGGGTAATCAGCTAATTAAAAGAATAAGATACCCAAGAGATTACTTCTTGGGTCTATACACAGTGTGGACACTCCAGTAGTATCCAAAGGGCTTAACCCCAATAATAATAATAACACAGGAAAGATTCACCTAATTCACAATAAAGTGGATGAGGTAAAAACTGTAAAAACGCAATCGGTATCCTGAGGTAAATGGGATAACAGCCCACTCTGCATGTACCAATACATACAAAAACCACATATATCTCCAGCCGTGTAAGGATACTCCTCTACCTAGTATAGATAAGGGGTAACCATTGGAGGTTAGACATTTAGTCAACCTCTGTTACTTAACACTTAGACCATGGTTTAACCCCTTGTCTACCTGGTTACACTGGTTTATTTTCCAGTGAACTACTTACCTACCAAGGGTTATCAAAAGTGCTACAAATAAGCCTAATTAACAGAGCTTGTATATTAATATGTTAAGCACCTGTCTGGATAATCCAATTGTTATCCATCATCTATACTAGGTAGACGAGCATACATACATACAATAGGCAGAGTTTGTAGGTTCTTGGGTAAATGGTTTGAATAATACAGGTATACGTAGCAGTTTAAACTGAAAAGACAAAAAGGGATAACCAAATCCTAATGCAATATTGTAAAGTATAACAATATGAGTAAAGGAAATGATCTTGTACTCACAAGAATGGAGCCAGTATCATTTGGGCTCAATATATAGGCATGTGGAAATATTAGTGGGGAATCCACTCCCTTCTTGTGCACCCGTTAGTTTCAGGTCCTCTGGTCCACCTCACAGATCCACTGGAGTAAAGGGCAATAAATACTTTATTTACAACAATTAAATCAAATAAAATAGAGTTAAAGTCTGTTTCGCCTTTCTTACATAGTTACACAGCTGAAAAGAGACTTGCGTCCATCAAGTTCAGCCTAACTCACATATGTTTTTGCTGTTGATCCAAAAGAAGGCAAAAAAACCCCTAGTCTGAAGCGCTTCCAATTTTGCAACAAACTAGGAAAAAAATCTTTCTTGACCCCAAAATAGCAGTCAAATGTTTACTTGGATCAAGCAGCTATTACCCCACTAATTATATCCCTGTATGTTATGTTTTTGGTAAGTATTTATCATA